CAAGGTTGATCATTATCTTAGCTTGCTTGTGTATGGGATTTTCTGCTTATTTGTTTTTACTATATATATAGTGAAAGGTTGGGATGTTGATTCACTTTATATATCTCACATCCAAGTGATCAAGCTCAGAAGCAAAGGCGCCGAACATACCGTGCACATGGAAGAATTAACCGTAAGCACTTCTTCTCACCCTCAACTTTGTGCCCCGTCACTCCCTTTCAATTTCTATCTTCAATTTGTTATCTTTATTGGTAATCTATATTTTTGCAATTGCAGCCTATATGTCCTCTCCATGTCATATTGAACTAATTCTTTCAGAAAAGGAAGAACCTGTCAAGAAAGAGGTAATTTTCAGGAAAATCAAGTTAGAAGTTTTGGTTAATAAAAAGGTGCAGCATTGAATGCTCAATGTTGCACTTTTATAGTTTATCCTTAGCTTTTTCATACTTAGAGGTGTCACTGCTCATGATTAAGATGGTGGATTTTCATCATGTAATATGTATAATGCTCATTCATATTAGCCTGACATTGCATTTGTTCCTGCAGCCCGAGACTCAATTGGCTCCTCGAAAATCAAAGGCCTAAATGCCATGGTGTTTTAGTTCGTCGTCAAGAAGAAAATGATACAATCTTCATTCTTGTTTTTGCCATCAGTTCCATTAGAAAGATCCTTTTCTTTTCCGTTAGTTCTCAGTGACTTTTGTTTGGCTACTTATTTTTCGGATTTCAATTTGGAGTTTTTGTCAACTTATTAAGAATCCAGTTTTGTCACTTAAAATTTTCTGTGGAATGAATCATGGTAGTTATTGTTGAGTGTTGGGGTGATTTGTTATTAATGTATGTTTTAGCTGCCGGTATTGAAATGATATAGCATTGTGATACTTGTCTGATATGGGGGGGGGGGGGCTGAATTAGACTGTTAAACAAGGTTGTAGACTGAAATAATTGTCTTGAATTTTGCTTGAAAGCAATGGCAACCACAGGGAAAGCAGGAGGATGATTGTTATGCTGAAGCAAAACATCAAAGTTGGAAATCTTCTTTTAAAAGTAGTTAATGGGTAAAAATTGTTGCCTAGAAGTCATTTTTTAGAGAAAGTAGAATATCTTTATTACTAGAAGTACAGAATTGGAGTCGTCAATAAAATTTATGACGTATTAGATGTTGAATGATAACAGAAGGACAATAGCGAATCCGTTGCTCAAAATGATTTTTTATTTATGATTAGGAAAGCGGTAGTTAGATGTTTGATTTGTCTCCAATTG